AGAAATGCAAAGAGAATGTTAAGGCTATTAGATAGCTTCAATCTTTTTTTTCTTTTAACTTTTAGGGCCAGATTCCAGCAGGAGGCTTTTTCTGCTTTTACCCTACTGTGGAGCAGCACAAACCAGCCAGAGTGTACTGGCCAGTTTCCCCCAGCTCCTGGCCTCCACATTCCCCTGTACACGCACCCAAGTTTCCCTCATGTCCCCTGCGTTTCTCTGCGCATACCCACACCCATTTTCTCACTCTCTCCCTCCCACATCCCCCTGCAAACCACATTACTCAATATCCCCTTCCTGTGGCTTTCTCCTACCCATACACACACTCCCCGCCCTCTCACGCCGTCCCCAATCTGTCCCTTTCCTTCCTTTTGAGTAAATCTGTCACAGGTGGTAGTTTTTTAGGATTAATGATTTTTAACCCATTCTTCAAAAAAGAACATTTCTCAGCAAGGGGCCAATGGAGAATGTTCAGCTACAGAGAATTCCATGAAGAAATGCCCTCTGCCATTTCCTGTTCTCAAGGGGAGTGAGACTGCAACGCTGTCATTAGCAAAGATACCCTCTTATAAAATGGTGACTGCCTGCCATTGAGAGAGGTGCCCAAGATGTTAACAAACACATATTATAAAACATCCATGTGACGTGTTTTCTCTTCTAGGCTATGCCTGTATTCCCCTTGAAACTGGTATTCATTGTCTGTGACCCACAGCAAACAAACATAAAACAAAAGCCCACTCTCCATGTACCAGCGGGAGCACTGAGAACTGGCCCAGCCATTCCATTTTCCCTGACAATGAGAGCTCCATTGTTACTGTGTTTGGTGAAAGGGACTCCCAGGTCACCTTGGGGCAGTGGCTCCTGCTAAGCACTACAGTGGTGCTTGTATCTTACCAACTGCAATTGAGCAATGACCTTGGTGCTGGGAAGATGTACAGGAAATGGGGGGAGCCTGCACTGACAGGCTGATACTATGATAATTTGGCATCAAACTCAAACATTGTAAATGCAGCAGATGGCACCAATCATAGCAGATTTCTCAGCACAGAGCATGGATCAAGTCCTGATGCTATTTGATCCGGGCTGGGGGAGAAATGTAGGAAAGAGTGGAACTCAAACCATTCCAAGAAACATCCTAAAGTACTAAGGACCTTGGAGTTTTATTTGAACTATGGAACTTAGCTCTGCAAAACAGGTGGAAATAGCACGAAAGCAGGTTCTCCAATGAAGTTTCCTGTGTGTCCTGAGTTAGATGGAATTGTTCACAGCTTGACTATTTCAGCCTGGTTCACCTCAAGTCCATCCAGAATACTGCTGCTAAGATCATCATCATGGCTTGTCTCTCTGATCACATCAGTCCCTTCATTGGCTCCCTCTTTATCTCAGCCTAACTAATAACTCATGGTGGTGTCAGCTGCTGCCTTCGATCCGCCAGCATCCCCTGGCTGCCTTGCCCACCATTCAACTTCTTCATTAAACACCATCCTGCTTTCTTCCACGCTGCCTGGGGAAAACTGGATATAATTCACAGGCCTCACCTCTACCGTAGTGCCTACAAAACCCTGTTGGTTGGTCGTGGCTAGACAAGGCAAGTGAGGAGTTGCGACGGCCCCTCTTCCCCTTCTTTAATTTTGGTGCTCTCTTATTCTTACAAGCTCCTCCATTCCTGCTGCTCCTCACTCTTCCTCTAGCCACAGCTCAAAATCATTACAAAACAAGTAGCTAACAAAGCTGGGCCAATTCTTCACCGTGTTCATTTGCTTCATGTTACTTTCACAGAATGTAGAGTGCTGCAAGACAAAGGCATCAAATAAGTTAACTCTTGCCAGCCTCAGCAATGGCTCCATTTGAATGTGGTGCAGAAGGGCAGCTGGGTTCACTGAATTATTTTTCTCCTCAAAGGGGGAGGGATGAATTCCACTCTCAGAATAGGTTAGATAACATCTGGCAGGTATAGTTAATCCTGCCCTGGCCTGGGGGTCATGGACTTCACTAGACAACCTCCTGAGCCCTATGTTTATGATTCTATAGGATACATGTTGGCACTCACTGGCTCAGGCCAGCTGGAAAAACCACAGCAGCTGATTCCCACCATTTTTTTTTTAAGTTGGGCCATGTTTCTGTGTTTATGAAGTCCTGGATTCAGCCTTTCACGCACCTTTCAATCTCACTCCTAATCTCCTAGCTAGCAAGCCAACAGTAGTTCAACCCTTTGCATGCCTGCAGTTTGATGCTTTCCATTTTTCCAGTCATCACCTTTCAGACACTAACAAATTCACTTCACAATAGCTGGTAGGAAAGATCAGTCTCACCCCCATTTTACAGATGGGGAAACTGATGACAGGAGAGGGAGGGAAGGGAACTTTCTCAAGGTCACACAATGTCAGCATTAGAGCCAAGAATAGAACCCAGCAATCCTGCCTCTCAATCCTTTGCTTGGTTTGTTAGGCCACACACTGTCTGACTGCCAGCCAAGTACACACTCTCAAAGGATGTGAATATCTGCAGGATTCAGAAAGATACAGAGACTATCATTTTTATTCCTGACTGCACAATATATAGTATACAATCAAATAGTCCACTAGATGGTGCTTGCTGGACAACGATCTGGTCTGATAGGTTTATACTGAGTGGCTCCCCTTCTCTTCTCTTGTTCTAAGCCCAAAACAGCGGCACCATTTGATTATGTACTTTGTCGGTGACAGTTATTAATATAAAGGGATCTGGAAAGATGCTGTATGGGCAATGAAAAGACCTCTTGTGCCTAGAGGATAGAAAATGCTAAACCCAAGACTAGGATGAGCTGGGGAAGGTGGCAATGCCTTTCTTTGCACTTCAGACTGTGCTTCTGTTTAAGCTGCAGATCAGGAGTGCACAAAGTTTGTGACAAAGAGGGCCACATCAGCAACTTGCCAGCTCCCTAAAGGCAGGCCCAAGTTTGTATTTATATACACCTCTACCTCGATAGAACACTGTCCTCGGGAGCCAAAAAATCTTACCACGTTATAGATGAAACCGCGTTATATCGAACTTGCTTTGATCCGCCGGAGTGCGCAGCCCCGCCCCCTCCCCGGAGCACTGCTTTACCGCGTTATATCCGAATTTGTGTTATATCGGGTCGCGTTATATCGGGGTAGAGGTGTACCTGTAATACAGCATGCACAGCCTCAAGGCTGTGGGCTGGATCTCTCTTGGCAGTTGAGTAGAAATTGCCTGCTGCTTGAGTTTCCCTGTCATAAACGCTAGAGATGAACAGCTGTTTCTGTTAAGTCTTCCCAGGCTGCGCTGAGGCCTCCGGCTGCACTTTGCAAGCCCTTGCTATAGAGAGAGAATCTCTTCCGTGATTGTTTCATGAGACTGAAGAGGATAAAGGAGCAAGGGCAGCACTAGCCCTTCCTAACCCCCAGCTCTTCCCTCTTGTGGGACACAATGCACTGCGAAATGCTGATTCATTTTAACTCTTTTAACCTCCCCCAGTAAATGGTTTTTAAAAGAAATCTGGCTCATTTAAAAATCTATTTGAGGAGGCCAGACCCACCTTGCACGTCACCCCATAGACAATGCCTGTGGGGAATGAGGTGGGGAGCTCCTGTTAAATGCTCTAAAGCAGGGGCACATTTCACCCAATGTCTCAGTCCCCCTCCAGCCACCCCTCACCCCAGAGGGTTAGTTCTACATTTGTAGCATTAGGGGCAAAGTCAGGGGATCAAAAGAAGCTGGAGATGGGAAAGCCCCCTGGGGACCGGTCTCTGAAAATGCCCTAGCAAAATGTGCAGGTCTGTCCTTTCATGCACTCCAAGCCTAGCCCTTGTGCACACAAACCAGCAGCTAGACACAATTTGTTACAAGGTTTTCACATGTGCAAACGTGCACCTGCACATTTTGCACGTGCATCTTGTGTGGGCACAGATTTAGTTCCCCTCAGTGATTGAGCTCATCCTCCCAGCCCATCCAGGATTTATTTTATTTTCCCAGACTTTAATCAGTCTAATCTTAAGTGGTGCTTCTTGCATTTTTCTTGGGAGACTGTTTCAGTGGTACAGATGACAGAGCACACTGTCAGGAAGCTTTGCTAGATATGAAGCCAAATAGTGAGGCATATAGGCCCTGATTCCAGAACTCTGTGTTCGTTATCATGTGAATGTGCACAACCAATCTGTATCCCCACATACAGTGAAAGTACTCAGAGTCAAAATAATTGCACCTACAGAAGGCCCTTAGATGTCTAGCCGGACATTGACATGAGCATTGACTCTAACTGCATGCACAATTACAATAATTGCATATGAAAGGCATGTTCCCAATTCTGGAAATTTAAGCCATCACTTCTGTAAATAATTGTAACCCACATTTGTGAGCTCTTTGGGCAAGGACTGTCTTTTTGTTCTGTGCTGGTACACCACCTAGCACATTGGGATCCTGGTTCATGACTGGGATCCCTAGGTATTACCGCAATACAAATAAATCGTAATCATTAATTAATAGTTAATCGGAACATACAGAAACACGAGACCATTTGACGGATCCTTGCTTCTTTGTTCCATACAGAGCTGTAGGTAGGAAAGAACCTGCTGGACATTTTACAGACAGCATTTATTTATGAATCAGTTTATTCAATATCTATCAAATATAAAGTGATCCAAATGTTAGTATCAATTGCAAAAACATTCCTAATGAGATGTGGGGTTTGGAGTTGCATGTGGACTCCTGAGTGGGTAGCAGAGACTGTTTCTGCTCTGTTCCAATGAAACAATGCATGCCCAGTGTAGTATGTTTCAGTGGAAGCCCTGGCCTGCGTGTAAACGGGCTGTGATTTAACACACACAATCCCCTTCTTTTGTAAAATCAGACCTGATTCTGATTCTGCTGCCTGGCGTTCCCCACCTAATACCGAGCGTGTAATGAAATTCAGTCCACTTGCTTGAGTAATGATGCTGTTTCCATGAGCCCATGTGATGCTTGGATAGTGCAGCTGCTGCTGCTCTCTCCTTCCCCTGTTCTTCCAATCTCAGGCTGTCATGGCGACTCCCAACAATGCTACTCCCACCAACTGCAGCTGGTGGCCCATTTCAGCTCTTGAGAATGATGCAGGGAAATCTACGGAGGTTGAGGACAGCCAGGACCCAACAGACCCCGCTCTCAGATCCAAGGATAGGCTGGTTTTGTATCACTGGACCCAGTCTTTCAGCTCACAAAAGGTAAATGCTGTGCTGAATTTCCAGGGAAGAATCACCTCCAATATCCAGGGCATATCCCTGACTTGGGAGAACAGCTTGGATGGGTGTTTTGTGGGATGAGTAGATTGGCTATTCAGAGATGAATAGGGGTGCAACTGGCAACCAGAATATCTAAATAGTGGTGTGTTTTGTGCCTGTATTTCTGCATTTTGACAGACTCTGTCTGGGGTGGCAGGAGTGTGTGGGGGGGAGGGGTTTCACTGTAATTCTGCCTTTGCTCTGGGGTCAGATTTTGTACTGGGAGATGTTTCTGATTTATGATCCTGCTTCATCTAACACCTGAATCTCACCTGAGAGGGAGAAGGGTAGACAAAGACAATTGCATTGAAATATTGGCTAGCTAGGACACTCCTGGTGTTGGGGGAGGGGACGGTAGCCATATGTACAATGGTCACCATTAGTTCCTATACATCCTGGTACAGAATTGTATCCATGGATTTGAAAAGCGGGCTCAGCACTGTGCCAAACAATGCATTTGCTCCTGATGCTGCAGCAATGCTACTGAAATCCTGTTCCCTCGACTCTCTGAGTCAGTTCAGAGCTGCCATGCATGGATTTTGGTAACAAATAACAATCAATCATATTCTCCAGTCAATAGTGAATGTTCTGTTCTGCAGCTCAGGATAGCAGCCAGCGTTCAACAAACCTGACCTTATTTTCTTAGTCACCAACAGCCCCAGTTGTTCTCCTTACATTCATTATATATGTGAGCTGAATTATTCACAGTGGAGAAGGTGAACATAAAGTTTTCAAGCTGCAAGGGCCCTGGGTTCCCATGAGAGCAGAATGTTCTCTCTTCACCCCAAGCACATTCAGGGAGGCTGGGGGGGGCAGGGGGAGGGAGGACAGGTTTGTGTGTGTGCACAGAGAAATCCTAGGGCACACAGTGCAGCCAGATGTCTACAAATGTTGAGTCCTTTCTTCCCACTCTTCTAACTAAGGTGTTTACTCTGCATCAGCAGAGCTGAGTCTTTAGGGTAAACAATCTGACTCCCATCTTTCCTTCCTTCCCTGCACTGCAATGTCCCCTTTGGGAGGTTGCTATTTCTATCTTTATCTATTGCTTTTCTCATTTGTCTCCTAGCATTGGGAGGGAAACAGTTAACCAGCCACTCACACAGGATTTTCTACAACCAATCCAGGCCTAGCCCTATCTCTGCCAGAACCACTCCATGAACACTATAGGGCACATTTAAAGTCACAGTGCACAATCTCATATTATTTATTGAAATCCCAATCTGATTTTTTTAAAGTCACTTGCAAAGAAATAACACCCTGAAACATGTTCACTGTAACTAGGGATTAACTAGCAAGACAACCTGCTAAATATTACAATGCATAGTACTGTACATGTAAGTGTAATGGACACAGCATGCTGGAGAAAGCAGATCCATGCCAGGTATCTAAATATCCTTCAAACCCGCTTTCTGGTAGGAAATTTCCTTTATGTTAGAGGTGTTGTTAAAAGTCCTCTAGGAGTAAAGCTGTTTCCAATCCCCTGTCTCCCTGACTAATTACACAGATCAATCATCTTGCTGCCAAGGTTGTTGAATATTGACTAATTGGGTGGGATTCCAGGGGCAAACCCTAAGATGTGGGGAGCATCTGCTGAACCCCTGATTTGGCCCTCATTGCTGCGAAGTAGGCTTTTAATTTGAAAAGGTTTCTTCTTTCAATCAAGGTGTCTGGCACTATAAAAAACTTCAAATTTCTGGGCAGATGCCTGATGTGCTCAGCACAGCCAGGCCACCTGATCTAGCACCATGCAAAGAAACACCTGGGGTTCCTTGTTCTAGGTTTGGGTCCAGCCTCCCCATTCAGCACCATGGCCAGAGCATAAGACCGTCTCCTACAGAAACAAGCTGGGGGAGATGGGGAGGGAAGCAGGGTAACCTGCACAAGCCAAAGAACCAGATTCATTCCTGTATAACCCAGCTGGGTTAGTTACACCAGGTATAAATTTGGCCCAGTGTTTCTAAACCAGGCCTTGGACCTTCTTCCGTTAATTGATGGTCCCCCTCAGACCTCAGGGGTGAGTTTGTGGCCTATTGATGTCAATGGCAAAGCACCCCTGGACTTCAGTGGAGCCAGGATTTCACCCTAGGTCTCTGGGATGCAGATGTATTGTCAGTGGCTCTTATACAGCTGTGCACATCTGGAACCCAGACCTATGATTTTTCCGAAGAAATAGTCTAGCTAGGCAAGGTCGCTGGATCTGGTGGCCGAATCCCTTGCAGGCTATTACAGGCAGTTTCTCAGCAGCTGACATGGAGATTCAGGGGACTACTTTGATTAGTGAGCACTTCACAGCTTGGTTATCAGTTCAAATCCAGCCCAGGTCAGTTGTAACTCAAAGTAATTACCTTCGACAGCTCTTTGGTGTCGCTTGTATGAAACGAGTTGGTGGGTCTTAGTCCAGTTCCTAGCAGATCAGGTTTCTATGTGATAAAAATTGCCATAGCAATTAGTCTGAACACCCTCCTTCTTGGCAGCCTCAACTGAGAGTTCAAGCACTGAATAAGCCTGATAGAATGAATTCTTCTCTTAGCCTAGATGCAGTTCCTGACCTGTAGTCAGGGTGGAGCTACACTGGTGGAGGGCGCTGTGTGTGGGAAGGCTGCGCTGCTGCTGTGCGTGCTGTACATGTTCTGTGACTAGAGGAGATCCGTCTCCAGGGCTGTCGAGCTTGCTGCTTGCATCAGAACCAAAATGCACCAAAGGTTATTTCGTAGCGAGAGGCTTGTCCCAGCACGCCAGTGCTTATTATCATAAGAATCCTCTTCCACTCCGGGCTCTGAAATGGAGTCTGAGCTCATGGTGGCTCTCTCTTAGCTTGAGTGGAAGCCTCCTCCACATCAAGGGAGGAAGCATGGTCTAGTGGTTAATGGACAACTCTGGGAGTAGAAGCCTTAGAGTCCATTTGTGGTTTTGGCACTTATTCACTGTGTGACCTTGGGCAAGTCACTTCCCCACTCCAGGCCTCAATTTCCCATCTGCAAAACGAGGATAATCGCACCCACCGACCTGTGGGCCTGTGAGGTTTCATTCCTTAATGTTTAGAAGATGCTCTGAGAGCTTGGGATGGGAGGTGCTACAGAAACACAAAGCACCTGATGACTATTGTTAGGTAATGATGGGTAGCAGATTGCTGTGCCAGGGATGCAGTGGGCACAACTGGCACCGTACCTGCTGGACCTGTGTGGTGACCCCTGCTGCAAGCTCTGCTTCTCTTGTCAGCTCTAGACCAGGCCACTGGCTTCTTAATGGCTCATTGATTAGAAAAGGGGAATGGGGCAATTGTCCTCAGTGGAAGGACCGGTTAGCCCAGCACTGTCCGTTCTGGGGTTTAATTCCCTTTCAACAACACAGGGGCAGAGAGAGAGGAATCTGAAAACAAGGGGTACTGGCTTTTACTTGTTTTATGTTAAAAGGTAAAAATAAATTGTCGATCCTGTAAATAATTAATTGCTAGTTCTGCAAACTCTTTGTTTGGAGGCTCTAATTAAAATGCTAATTTTTTAAAGTTTTATTTTTAGCAAATTCTAGTTGTGAGAAAACAATTGATTGTTTGTTTTTAATTCAGAAGTTGTGTGTTAGGCACCTGTTAGGTGTCACACCAGTTTTGGGGGTTTTTTTAGTAGTGTGCCCTACTTAAGTCATAGTAGTGAACATTTTCAAAACCTGCATGTCTAAAATTAGACTCCTAAGTTCTCATTGTGGATTCTAAATTAAGTGGCCTGATTTTTAGAGGTGCTGAGCACCCACAACTCTTCTAGAAGTCAATTGGAGTTGTGACTGTTCAGCACCTTTGAAAATCAGAACCTTAAATATGGGCTTGGTGGTCTAATATTGAACATGTGGGTTTGAAAATGTTGGCCAATGCATTTTATACACGTTATACTTTGCACTTCTCTAATGTTTTCCATGTGAGGATCTGGACGCACTTTGCAAGTGTTACTAATTCGATCTCAAATCCTCTTGCCTCTGTGTGGTTGCTATCATTGTTCCAATTTTACAGATGGGGAAACTGAGGCACAGAGGTTTAGTTATTTACCTAAGTTCACATGGAAAGTCTGTGGCAGAGTCAGGAACAGAACTCACATCTCCCAGTTCCATGTCACAGCCCACCTGTCACCCCTGGAGTTATTTTTATTTAGAACAAGTAGAAAACAAACATCCTGGTATTAATACCATGCATCAGGGCAATTTGTTGAGTGCCTGGGAAAATATAGCTGGTTCATGTTCCATGTGCCTAGGAAGATCTGACAAATAACAACAAAAATCAAGTCTCAGTGCAATTTTGTATGTGAGGGTGCAAATGAAACAGGACTGGGTGCCTCTAAAAGAGCTGGATGGGCAGTGTGACGGGCCATGCTTTTGTGGCTGGTACTCCAGGCTCCCTGACTGTTCCCTACCCTAAGGATCAGGCCCTCACTGCCTGCCTCCCATTCAGCTGTGCACAGTTCAACCTGCATGACGCATGTGCTGCTCACTGCATTGGGAGTCAGTTTTGTAGCAGCCCAACCCCTCTGGCAGGTTAGATTGTGCACAGCTGAATGGGAGGCAATGGGGGTACTATGGTACTGCCAAGGGCCTAGACTCGAAAATTGGCACAGCTGCCCAAAGAAGCTGGGACACGCACTGATCTAAACCCGTGACCTCCCCGACTCAGAAGAAGAAGCCAAGCCTGCTGTCCCAAAGCCATGTAAAGGGTGGGATACAGATGTAAGGGATGCATATACAGAACAGCTCAGGACTGGGCATGCAGGTTCTTTAAGCCACCTATGTGTCTCCATGGTGCTCCTGGGTCAGGTGTGTTCTGGGATGGACCCTTTGGCTGATCCCTGTACCACCTGCCAATGGCCTCATGGGGGTGATGCAGCATTTGGGGGTCACTCACACACAGGTGGCATTGGCTGTTTCCCTTTTTCCAGGCCACACCTCCTTCTAAGACTTTGTATTCAAGCAGAGGAGCTCTGTAATTAGGGCATTGGCTTAGGACTCAGAAGAGCTGGGTTCTGTTCTGTGGTCTGCTGGGTTTCTTTCTGCCTCAGTTTCCACATCTGTAAAATGGGGGTAATGATACTGATGTTCCTTTCTAAGGTGACTTGAGATCTCTGGCTGAAAAGTGCTGTGTAAGATCTACGTGATATTATTTATTATGACCCTGGGTTTAGACCTGCTCAGCCCATGAAGCGGGGAACAAGAATTTGGGAGCCTCCCTAAATGAGATCCAGTAGCTCTGTATGTGCACCATCTGGGCAGATGGGAGCAATATGGTGCCTTCCATCACCCTAAGACAGGCATTTGAACTGTACTAGGTATGGCACTGTTTTCTCTCTGGCAGCTTTAGGAAGATTTCCAGAGGTGACTGTCTGTACCTTAAAGAGAAACACATAAGGAGCAGCGAAAGATGGAGAAGCCGGACAACGTGTCTGAGTCGTGCTCCCCAGGAATGAAACTGCTGAGTAGTGTGGGTGGTGTAGAAATGCGCAGTATGTCTTCCTGTCTCAGCAGATCCCAGTGTTGGAAGGGAGCGGTGACTAGATTGGCAGATCAAAACACCACTCTCACAGTGTGACTGATAATCAGGTGATAAAACCGTAAATCCAATCACACAGAAGCTTAAGGGCTTTATAAGCATTCACTGGCCTTTACCAGCTGATAGTGATAAGTCAGGACACAGTCTGAGCTAAAGCACAGAGATCTGATTAGTCCAAACCTTTTGGTCCAAGAAGGAGTGCAAGCAGTGCATGGCTGAACTGCAGCAAGATGCTTTGCTTTAACACACACGGGTATCTGCCATCCTCACAGAGAAGCACACAGAAATGTGCACACTCACAGAGACAAGGCCTGTTACGCAGATACACACACAAGCACACTAATTGCCACACTGACAAATGCACGGTATTTTGATTAAAACACTAGAATATAAAATGAACATGGCACACAATAAATGGATTAAAAACTGGCTAACTGATAGGTCTCAAAATATAATTGTAAACAGGGAATTGTAATCAAGCAGGTGTGTTTCCAGTGAGGTTCCACAGGGATCGGGTTTTGGCCCTACTCTATTTAACATTTTTATCAATGACCAGGAAGAAAACATAAAATCATCAGAACTAATTAGTCTTGGCTCCCAGTCCCCTGCTCTAACCATGTAGCAGGAGCATTCACAAAGCCAGACCCTTCTATAATGCAAAATGTCTCTAGCAACGAGGTCCAGGAGAAAGGAAAGAGAGAAGCTACAGGATACAGGATACGAGGGACCTTTATGTACAGCATCTTCATACAAAGCATATCACCCCAAATCCTTCACAGGGATAAATAATAGGAGTCAGGGTGCGAACAGAGGCAAAGGAGGAAAGAGATGCAAGGTGGAGGGATGGATGGAGACTGTCTCACAGAGCAGGAGCTGTGGAGTATAAGGCTCTCTGACCGCATGGAGGGACAGAGAGAAAAGCTAGTGCTAGGAAAACAAAGGGAATGGGAAGGGGATTGCAATACGTGACAGGATTCTCCCTGTTGGACATTTGCATTCTCCTCTCCCCGTGACACTCCCCTCTGCTTTTGGAACCAGAAATATTCCCAAGGGAGCTCTGACTGGCAGGAGCGAGGAAAATAGCGAGCCTTCCCCTGCTGTGGCAACGATACTCCATGTATAAGTGACGTCAGCCACTTCGGCGTGTAAGGGAGGTGCCCGACAATCACCTGATACTGTCCTGTCCTCGATTTGCAATGCGGGCATCATGGCGTGTCATTGTGTCTCAGGGATATCGTGTTCAGAGGCGCCATTGTGATGAAACATAATGGCACAAGAGGAGGACAGCATGCTGAGATTACGCCTGTCTCTGATCAGCCCGTGATGCCAGCTGCCATCACTCATTACATTTTCAAATGAGCACCTTCACGCTTTCTCCCAAGCTGCCCCTCATGCCTACGAGAAGCTCCTCATAAACTTCCACAAACCCAACTCATTATCCACCTTCAAAACCCTCCTTACAGCTCTCCTTCGCTGCCAGGCCTACAAAACACTTGACTGCTGGTGTGCAGAGACTACTGCCTATCGTGCTGGTCAATATGGTCTCATTGTTTCCTTTCCCCCATTGGTCTGTATTCATCTGTTGTCTGGTCTTATATTTAGATTGTAAGCTCTTTGGGGAAGGGGCTGTCTTTTCTGTGTTGTACAGCACCTAGAACAACAGGGTCCTGCTCCATGATGGCTGGTCCTAGAAATTATAATATAAATAATAAGTTTCTGTGACAAAATATCTCCTCTGCCTTCTACCTCCTTCTTGGCTGCTGGGAGAGATGCCAGAGACTCTGGTATGTTGGGCTTAGGGCTCCTCCTGATGTCCTACTACATAGTACACGTCAGGTGGCTTGAGGAATAATCCCAGGATGGGCACTCTACTGAATGCCCTTTGGTAAGAGGAGCTCCAATCAGCCCTGTGAACTCTACAATGCAACACAGGGCCCCAAAGAGCCACAAGTGGCTGAGCATCACTGTCCAGTAGACCTTGTGGGTATGGGAGACCATATGCAGAGCCCGGTGGGCAGCAATGAGACTTCTCTGCCCTTGCTTCCTGCTGTAGGTCCGCCTGGTCATCGCGGAGAAGGGGCTGCCGTGCGAGGAGCGGGATGTCAGCATGCCCCTGACAGAGCACAAAGAGCCCTGGTTCATGCGTCTCAACCTCGGGGAGGAGGTGCCCGTGATTATCCACGGAGACAACATCATCAGTGACTACAACCAGATCATCGACTACATGGAGAAGAACTTCACAGGAGGTAAGGAGGGGTGGGTCAAAATTCATCATCAAAATGGGGTTTTGATGGAAAATTGGGTTTCGGCTCAAGGAAACTGTTGGTGAAAAGGAAGTGGGTTTTAGCCCATGAAAGCTTATGCTCAAATAAATTTGTTAGTCTCTAAGGTGCCACAAGTACTCCTCGTTCTTTTTGTTGGTGAAAAGTGTCTGCTCTTCAAGGAAAATTTCAGCTTTTCTTTGACAACCAAACATTCCAAAACCAAAAAGTTTACAGCCGAAACTGAAAACTTGCAGTTGAAAACCAAACATTTCAATTTGGAAATGTCACCACAGTGCCTCATGGGAGTTGTAGTTCATGCCCCTCATGTCCCCATTCTCCTTTATGAGCCAAGCTCCCCAGCAGGACTACAGTTTTTGTATTTGGTTTGAGTTTTGGGCTGTGTTCCAGGCCTCTTCACCATCCCCAGCTGTGACAACTCTATTATTTCTATACATCGTCATTATGAGAGTACATGTGCAGAGATGGAGTGAAACTGGAACCACTTATTCAGCTCTCCACCTCAACAACCTTTATGAGTTTGGATAAAATGGGGCCTAGCTCTGACCCAGCCAGGGCCAATGAGGTTTGGCAAAATCAATGCCAGTTGTGGTTTTTGCTCAACCTCTGCTTAGACCTAATAGTCCTGCAGAGTTTTGCCACCTAGTGGGATGTCACACTGCCTGATGTGAAGCTTTCATAGCCTGCCAAAAGCAGCTTGCTCTGGCGTCCTGGCCAGTAGCACCGGGCTCTGACGTTCCTTTCCCTGGAATGTGCCTGGGAAGGGCTTTGCTGGTGCTTTTAGTGCACTGGGGCTGAGCTGGTGAGTGACTGCAGTCAGAGGACAGGTTGGTATATTGCCAGTTTGGAGGAAATGAAAGGGGATGGCAGTTGTTAAGGAGGGCTGGAGGGGAGATGTTTATATTTGGTGTTACGTGAATGCAGTGCTAGTGAGTAGCACAGAATTGCCAGCCCTGGGGTTTGAATCCCTTTATTTATCCAGAGCAAATGCAGCCTGGTTAGTGGCAGGGCGAGCTCCCGCACACTGCCCTGCCCTGGTGCTTCACCCCACGGGTGCACGGAGAGAGGGCCCGGCTCTCTCTGCTGAGGCAATGACTCACCAGTGCTTTCCTGAGCTCCCTTCATTTGTCAGAGCAGAGCTGGCCAGTTCAGGGCCGTCAGACTGGGATGAGCAAGCCGGGAGACTTCAAAGGCTTAGGAGGAAGGTTTTAACTCTGTCATCACGACACTCATCACAAAGCCTGTCACCTTAGGAATGGAGAGACTTTAAAAACCATCTTAAAATAGATTCCAAAAACAAGGGAGTCTTGGCAGATCGGCGGCTGTCCTCCTCTCCTCGGCTCCAGCACTCCCTTCTCACGCTGCTCAGAGAAGGCATTCAGCAAAAGCAGGAAGGTTCCCCACTCATTCGGAGGCCTTCTTTTAGGTTTAGTTGGACGGGCTGGTCTTGCTGAATCCCCAAAGTTTCAACAAATGCATCTTAAACAAAGCAAAGGACCACTTGTCACCAACCCTCCTAGCTTCCCAGAGGTTCCTGCTGATGGACCAGGCCAGGACCCAGATTTGGTTCAGTCTGAAAGACTCTTCTCAGACACTTGGCTCAGCGGGCTATATTCTGTTTTATTAATGCAACCCCACTGAGCTCCCCCTTACAGATGTGACTTTACATTGTCTCCATTAGAGTTGCACACATCTAAATGGGGGCAGACGATGCACATGTGATAGCATCCTGTCACCAGCAGAAGGCATTGACCTATCCAGTGACATGGAACAGCTCCTAGAGTGATAGATAATTACAGATCTGCCATGGTGCTGGGGCAGGGGGTGGGAAGGGGAAAAAAGTGCTCTGACCCTGGTTAGCAGTTCTATTAGCCATATTAACAAGCTCTGGAATCATGTCCAGCCCATTCTGGCTTTGCCGGCAATGCCAGTCTTTAGAGGCTGATGCTGGCGAGACAAATCACTCACCCCATAAAAATGTTTCAGTCCTGGAAGTGCTCTTTATACTAAGGATAAATATCTGCAAGGCTTCATTTTGTCACAGGCTTGAAGCAGAGCCTAGCTCTGTTAGTTACCAGCCATACCCTGTGAGGTCACATATAACATGGCATCAGCAGCAATCAAGCCAATATGTGCAGTTAGTTCAGCAACCAACAGGGAGAACAGGTGCTGTTACGGTGAGCTAATGCCTCCAACCTCAGCTGAAGGGAGTGGGTCCACAGCCAGAGCTGTTGCATTTCAGTGTGGTTACTGAATAGCCTTGCTTGAAGAGCTGGCTATTCTGAATGCGTTGGGTTCCAGCCCGGGAAACCTCGGCATGAACTGATGCGATGCTGGCTGGGAGCCATGCGGAAGCATGCGCGCTAGGGAGTCTGTATTAGTATTATTTCATTTCACTGGTGGTTGTTCTCAAATGAAAAGTCCCCGTTTGTGGCTGGGATCCAGTCTCTTGTACTTGGTCCAAGGACAGCATGAAGGTGAACGGCAAACTAGCAGCCCCATGAGGGACTTTGGCTCAACCACGTCATATTTAGAAGCTGTGAAAATCTCTCAGTCTGAAAAATTCAGTGGGAAAGGGTTTAATTTGATAGAATCCCCAAAACTATCAATGGAGAGGCCTTGCTTGGTCCCATCCAGTTGATCCCTGGGGGCCAGGAATGTTCCTTATAGTGCATTTACTAGTACTTTATAGAGTCTAGATTTATATTATCCTAGGGAATAGCCAGCTCACTTATCTCTCGGGACAAGCCCTTCCCATTGTTGCTGATAGCACTTACTTACCCACCTCAGAGGGAGGTGCTGAGGTTTAATTAGGTTTTAAACAGGGTACAGGTTTGGTGCCAGTTTGCTTTCCTGGGAACAGAACTCAGCACCTGATGTTTAGAGATGCAGAGACTTTGCAACCACCACTGAAGTCAATGAGAGCTGCAGATACTCACTAACTGTGAGACCCAGGCCCTGAACATTTACGCTCAATGGGTGCGGGGGAGGGCATACTGTACATGATCAACCTAATCAACCAGTGCATAAGAGGGACCAGTCCAACCAAAACCAGGAAGGCTTAGCTCTGGGGTTAATTTCACTTGAGCCCCCAACATTCCAGGAAGGTGTTTCAATTAATGGTTTGATTGCATCTCTAATCAGAACTAGCACAAGCTAAACACAAACCAGTGTCGCAAAACAGGAAGTAATGAGCCAGCCTAAATCAATCTTTGATCATCCCAGTGGCCTGGGGACAATCAAGTCACATGGGAACAAGTTGATGTATCGTAGCTGTAACCAATGCCAACTTTTTGTTCCGTGTTTCAGAAAATGTTACCCAGCTGATCCCCGACACCGGGAGCATTCTCCACACAAGAGTGGTGCAGTACAGAGAGCTCCTGGACTCACTGCCCATGGACGTCTACACTCACGGCTGTATCCTCCATCCCGAGCTCACCACTGACTCCATGATTCCAAAGTACGCTACAGCTGAAATCCGCAGTAAGTTGCCTCTTTAGCAGGGCTGCCTACCGCTAGTGAACAGTGGCATGGCGTGGGATGTTTATTTCTTTCTATCTTGGCCCTATGCAAACTCCACACCGACAGGTGCTGTTGACACACATTTAAAAACACAAGGGCACAGGAGATGCAGAGTAAATCAACCAAAGCAGCAGCACTTCTTTCCCCTGCGCTACTGCGCATCATTTGGTCATGTGACTACATTTCACCTTCAGTGACTTCAGCCTTCCATCGGGGCCTGCTCAAACAGATGGGCTCAGCAGTGTGCCCAGGAGACAGAGCAGAACTCTTCCTTGAAGAACAGGAGACAGTCCGTGGCTTACTGACCCAATACACTGGCTTCTCTGGAAGCAAATGTCAGGTGTCGCTCAGACTCCCGTATGCTCTTTACTTCAGTTGCTTTCTCCAGGAGCTTTACTCCAGATGTTTATTCCCTCTGGTTCAAAGCCATTCTGCATGAGTTCCAAGTCACTCACATTTTACACTGTGCCCCTCGCCAGGGTGGAAAATATATCTCGTGAAACGATGGAAATCCTGCCACTTTGAAAATCTCAGTCTCCTTTGCCCATGATGAATCAATCCTTGACCATTCCCCGTAGCTTACAGCTAGAGCTGGTAGAAACATTTTGGACAGAATGTTTTTCCATTGGAAAATTCCATTTAGTTGAACCTGCTACTTTCCAGGGGATCATGTCAAAATTTTGTTTCGATAATGTTGGAACATTCCATTTTGGCATTTTTGAAATGGAACATTGTGATTTTTCATTTCACAAAATGGAAATTCTGGTTCCCACACAACTCTACTCACAATCAACTGCTGAGTAGCGAGGAGCATCCCTGGTTCCTTGTGAGACAGGGAGAAGATGGAGGGTAGCCAGCACCTTCCAGGATGGGACCATTAGATCCTCCAGACATAGTATCACCCTTGCTTCCTTCTGGGTCCCCTTCTCTAGGACAATAATCTTCCTGCAGGGTGCTGCCCAGGGCACTGCTCACAGGATCCCAGATGGGGCTTATCATCCTCTCCAAGATGATTGTCTCTTTCCTGTAGGATATTTGTACCCTGTGACCAGAGAGGCAGATGGGGATTGTGAACCTGCTGCAATGGGAGCTGCAGGAGTGCTCTCATGACCAGGCACTGAGCATGCAATGGAGTGCACTGTCAGCATCAAGAAGAGCTGCTGTCAAAGCCCTGTCATCATAATAGATACAGACATAAAAACCCAGAGGGCCAGGGCCAGCCCTGGCGCAAGCAGGTGCTAGTCTGTTGGGCTTCAGTGGAGTTGCATTATTTTAAGCCAGAACTGAACCTGACCCAGAGTGGCTAACATCCAGGCACTACGTTCTGCCAGTTACCCATGACTAAGATGCTCAGCCAGTGAGTAGCCTCTTTACGGCTTTCTATGGCATTGTAATTCACTTGAGATAATTATGGCTTGGTGGTTCTGATTCCAAACAACTGGTCTGGAAAGGAGACAGAGAAATCAAATGCAGCCTTTGGGACAGAGGGTATTTAGTCCGTCTAGTCGCGGTTCAGAGGGCTCAGCCTCCACGCGTCCAGGACCAACATTATTGCTGTCAGTTACTGGGCCCTTTGCAGATGTTTTATTCATACATGCGGGTGGAGGACATGCTGCGCCCTTCATTATTTTATAAAGCATATTGCATTCGGATGCAGCTAGGAGAGATTGTTATCCCGCACATCACAGCCCAGAGACTGTGCCAAACAGGGCATGCACTGCACACGCTTAGGGCCCGGGTTTCCGTGATTGCCGAGCGCATTCCATTCTAACATGTGCTGTCCATTCTTGAGGACTAAGACAGCCCTTTGAACCTTATGCCCCAGTGGGGCTATGCGTTTTGGCGAGTACAGACTTTGGAGTCCTGGCCACAAAAGGGTTATCTGCCCCTCTTCGCACCATGGAGGGGGATCCACACCAGTACTAAACAGGCCAGCATGGGTGCAAGGCTGTGTGTGGAAGAGGCCTGTGGGATCCAGTGGCCCGCAGGGCCCAGGTAGGTGGAATAGCAGCCATGGGTGTGTGAGTGAGGGGGTGGAGGGTATATTAGCCCTGTGGCCTGCCTGTGGGTTGGGGGATGGACTCTACCCCCAAAGACTGCCTACTGCCTCCCATGAAGCCCTAGTACTTTCTCTTTGAGCAGGAGGGGGAATATCATAATGGACCACATCAAGTGTCCAAATCACAGCCTCGCTTTCCTCCCTCTCCTTGTCTCTCTTTTTCTCCCTCTCTTTCATGCATACATTCTCCCTGCTGCTCTGCTCCTTTTCATGTGCGCTCTCTCCTGCTCTCCTTCTTCCTCTCCTTCCCCACACCTCCAGTGGGCTATTTCATTATTATTTTCAATAATTTAAAGGTCATATGGGGGAGACTGCACAGGGATTCAATTACAGACACTGGATGAAGCGACGTAAGACTGTGTACTTGACCTTCAAGCATTCATGAAACATTGACGATACTTAATATAACTCAGCTGCAAGGACTACTCTTAAAGTACGGTTCTCCTCTGGGAAGTGACTTTGTCAGAATGACACTGGAGGGCCCCACCGTTATTGTCTCTCAAGGACTCTGGATCAGAATTGCTCATGGATCACAGTTTACAAGTACAAGATTTTTAACTTTTGACAAGCCCATCCTAGGATCTGGAATTAAGCTGGGCTCATGTATCACAGACAATCAAACGTCTGCTGTTGATGATGTCCTTCTCTGCCAGATTTTCTTCAGGGTCTTTGCTGTTTGTGTCCCATCCCCATCTAGCTGGGATTCTCTCACATGCAGTTACAGCCTTTTCTCATATGGGCGCCCCATCTCCATCTTCTCATATGCGCCTTTGCATCTCCACCCTGCCTTTTCCTTGTGCCACAGGCACCTTGAAGTCTTCTCCCTTCCACCCTCACTGAAGTTCTTTTGTGATCTGACCTAGACTTCCCTCCTGCTCTCAGTCCCGAGGCTTCACATCCAGGACATGCCCTAAGCACGTAAAGGGAGTATTAGAAAGTGCAATCTGCTCATGCAAATATCCCATTGGCACACATAGGGCCAAATTGTACTCTCAGTGGAGCCGGTTTAAATCCAGAATAAGGCTAATGAAGTCTAGGATGAGAAACCAAGTTGATGAGAATTATACCAGGAAGAGTCAAGCACAGAACAAACTGGTGCTTATGGTATACTGTTGAGAAACACACAAACATTTCTTACTTTGTCAGTGAAGTGAAAGGGAAAGGGGGAATTCTAGAGGATATAAAGAACCAAAGAATATGAATGCAGTGAAACAGTTCTAACCACAGTGCTAAACACAGGAGGTGAACTCCTAGCCCCACTGAAGTCAATGGGAGTTTTACCATGAACGTCAATATGGCCAGGTTTTCACCCTGGGAACACAGTGTACATGACAGTAGTGTTCATCCCAGAGAGCACCTTGAAGCTGTGCTAGGGACAGAGAGCACTGCAGGGCTCTGCATAGACCAAATCCAGGTCAACACTCTTGGAGCACAACAGCAGTCATAGAAAGGATTTGAGCACTGTGCATGTATAAAGAATGGGACCCACCCCCTACTGGGGGAAATGAAGGTCACACTATGTTAACGGAGAGATCATTTCCCCTACATTCTCAACAACACTGAACTCAGTTTTGGCCTTCCACCTTGATGGAACAATAATTCAGGCCCCCTGCACTAACAATTCCATCATTGCAGAGTCAGCCTCAGAAAAGGTTGTATAGCAATCGACGAGGGGAGACAGGCCCCCTTCATTCTATTCCTGACTTTGCCACAAACACCCTTTGTTACTCTGGGAAGGTTCCTTGACCCCTCAGTGTCGGTCTATCTGGGCTACTTATCAGGCCCCATCACTGTAGTATCTGTGCACCTCAGGTTAATCTCCACCTCCTTTTCTATCTCATTCCCTTCTCAAGTCTTCCTATTGGTCAGTGCGTATGGTGGGCTCTTTCTTGACATCAGTGGGTTTCTTACGTTGAGATGGTTGCACTCCATCACATGTATGTGTTTCTATGTGCACACGTACACTATTGCTTTCTAATGGGTGGAAGCAGATCTGCTCACGTGGATAGCAGACCCTTCTACTGGTTAAGTTAGTGCCACTACTGCAATTTACTGAGTATCACCTTGTGGTTTTGGAGCACAGTGATGATTATCAGTATCTATTTATATTGCGGTAGCCCCTAGGAGCTAGGCACTGGACAAACACAGAATACAAAGATGGTCCTTGCCCCAAAGAGCGTACAATCTAAGCAAGCATAAGAGTGTGGGTTCTTTTCCCTGTGCTGTGTGTCTATGAAGACTTGATGACAATGGTGTTGGCTGACCACAGCTTAGTGCACAGAAGATGAAGTAACAGGCTTCCAGCTGTGTGCCTAAAAGAAGTTCTCTAGGATTGGGATTATACCAGTCCATTGGATCAGCGGTTGGCAGAACCAGGAAGCCAGGATGCATTTTGGACAGAAGCTGCTGGGCAGTCACCTGGCCAGTGGGAGAGAGATGCAGAACAGAGAGAGAGGGACATAGGATGAAAGAACATACAACTAAAGCCATTTATTGTTTACCATTATAATTCTGAACTCCTCAGCTCCTGGGATGGCACATTCATTAGAGGGAGAACTTCCCCTGGCAGGACTGACTGAGTACTCCTTGCTTCAGAGGTAGACGTTGGGATGCTTTCTCGGGGTGACCGGAACTCCAGGTGACCTTGTTACCCCTTTGCCTTAGCAAGAGAGAGATTTGTGGGTGTCACCCCAGGTTGCTAGCCAGCCAACCAAGTTCCCTAAGACTCTGCCAGCCCTCTTTTCCTTGCAGGGAACACTTGATACACCCTTGTCCCCAACCCCCCCTAGAAGTGCATTCCTCTGCAATGTCCAGCCCCTGCCACTGGACACTCCCAGAGATTACCAAGTCTGCTGTCTCCAAAGAGACAGTATACACACCAGCCTGTTGGCTCGGCAGAGGT